TGACTCAGAATATGCCACTAATGCAGAAGAAAACATTTTGATTGACAGCATATTTAATGTTTTATCATCCCAAGTACATTATCTATTTAGAACATATGCAGTAAATTCACTTATTCTCATGAGATCATGGTGCTGTGCAGCTGAAGAATAATGGATACACAAGTATTTTACTACTAGGTAAAATCTGCTGCAAAGCATTTTTTGTAATGTACTTTAAAAACATAAATGATTTAGTAATTCTCTCTTATTTTGGATCCTCTCTCTACCTCATGTGCTAGCTAAGGGGAGCAGGAACAGGAAGATAGTCAGTCTTGCTCATGTTTCATAGTTTGAGATCAGATGTCAGTGGGGTGGGGCTCTGCTGACATGATCCTTTACTGCACAGTGTACAGGCCCCAGGCAAAAGCCAAGTCTCTTTCTACTGAAGGCCACACTTTGATATCACTGCTATTAGTTGGGCTTATGAATATGGACTTACAAATATTCTGAGTTTTACAATATGTGACATCTAGATTCAAAAATCATACAAATATTTTTGTAAGTGCTAAATGTCTTTAGATAATAACAAAAAATATCCAGCAATATCTGAAATCTTAAATCACCCCAAAGATTAATCTTCCATTTGTTTTGAAATGAAAATTATACAGTTATCTTCAAGATATTCTGTGGTGATGTCATTCAATATTAAAGGAAAGTATAATGCAGACGTTCCATTTAATGTTTTAAATTATTTGGACCAAAAATATGCTTCTCAAAATGTCATCGTGGCAAGAAGTTTATTTCATGGGCAGGGCTTTGATGGTTTGGCAGAAGTTGCTTTGATAGTATTTGATATTGAAGGGAGGTTGATCTATTATTTCAATTAGCCTCAACTTCAAAATCACCTGCTGTGGCTAGAGTTCACATTTCATTCTCGAGGGAGGAACTCAGAACCCACTACATCTGGCTGCTAATAAATTCATTTAACCCTTTACTGTTAGACATTTGGTTGTTTACACTTCTTAGTTATATCCAAAACTGCACCAACAAATATCTTTATGCAGCTTTCTTATGCACAGCCGATATTTCCTTGGGATACTTAGAACTGTGACATTTGCCATTATTCAGTTTTCGCGAATCTGTCATAAGGGTTCCTTTAAAGTGCCATTTCACTTTAGAACATGACCACTACACATCCATTTTCCAATACTGATTAGATTCCTAGATGTTATCAATCCTTAAAATATCTTTCAATTTAATAAACAATATGTGATATTTCACTGTTTTAACTCATGAGATTTTTATTCACTATTCCATTTCCTTCTCTTCTGTGAAACATCAATAATGCTTTGTTCATTTTTATTTTCTTCTTACTTATAAACATTGTTAATACTTGGATATCAATTTCGTACTAGTGTAAATGTAAATATATTTTCCTAGTTTGTCATTATTTTTAACTTTATGTTGCTATGGTTACATAAAAAGATTAACTTCTAAATATTGTAATTACTAAAATTTCTAATTTTTGTGACTTTTGCATTTTGTTTTACTTTCATACCTCCAAGTTAAAAACCACCTTCCTATGTTTTTTTCTAAAATGGATGTTTTGATGAGGAAAGAAGAAACAGGTAGGGACAAAAGAGCATTTCCTCCCCAAAACCCCAGCTCCAACCAAGAGAGCTATGATTAAAACTCAGGAACACCCCCCACCTCTGTCCCAATACTGTTTGCAGTGAGAAGGGTGCTAAGGTGAAGAACTCTTTTGTGAAGGAGAATTGTGGTTACTCTAGGGCACCCCCTAGAGGACTCATCCACTCTTGCCCCGAGCTCTTTACTTGCCAACAACTGGGATGGACTTCAGATTCTAGAACTCGACAAAGAAGCTGATAGTCTGAAGGAAAATAAGCTTTTAGACCCAAATAACAAGGTAGCTGAAGAGTACAGCCATCTCAAAAGAAAGACAGCACAATCAACTACAGATTCTGTCAGTAGCAGAAATATTACAACTGATTGACCAAGAACTTTAAATTAAAATATTAACTATGCTAAAAGAAGTAACAGCAGATAAAACAAGAACAAGCAAACAAAGAAAAAATCAAGCAAAACTATTAGGTATGAGAAACTTGAAAACTGGAAGATCACATTGAGAAAATCTAGGAAGAAGGAAAATACAAATGAATACTTTATATGCATGAGTGCTTGTGTGTGTGTGAGTATGTGTGTGATCGTGATCAAAATACAATGTGGCCATTGGAGTGAGGGAAACCAAAGAATGAGAGTACTTCCTGCATCTAATTTCCTGTATCTAAACTTCTTTAGATCAGAAATTTAAAATGAAAGTAAGTGGAAATATAAGAAAAGTAGTACAACAAATAGGATACTAGAAGTAGGTTTGAATATACAAATAAGAAAATAATTACTAGCGCTCCCAGGAATTTTATTTTCAATGTACAAAAACACTACATGTGTTTTGCCTTGGGTGGCCCAACTGGGTAGTGTTCACAATCATAGTAAGTAGTGTCTGTTTATTTAACCAAGACTCTGACACAAATGTCTGAGGAAGATGGGAAAATGGGAAGGTTGCATGTGAGTGGCAGGGATGAAGGGGAAAACTTCATTATTGAATGGGAATCAGAGTTACTGCATGAAGTAGAAAAATTAAAAGGTGGTTGATAAGAATATTATTTAGAAAAACAGCAATAAAAGATAAACTAATGTTCCAAAAATGAAGGGATGGTGGTGGCTTTTAAGGAAGGAAACACAGGGGAAAGGTACAGACCTAATGGTTTTCTTAAAAATCTTACAGGAATATTTCAGTCTATAAACTATGTAACTTTTATTGAAGTGAAAGAGTACAAAGAATTTTTAAATTTTTATTAAAAATAAAAACATCGGCCCTCCCTGGTGGCGCAGCGGGTTAAAGCACTGCACTGAGAAGCTAAAGCCACTTCCGCATGAGTTCGATTCCGGCCTGCCCCGGAGGAGA